GACTTATCCGTTAGCCAGAAGATGTAGTCCTTGACGAACTGGGCACGGTTGCTGTTGGTCACCAAGCTGGCCTCGTCGGCGGGAGGTGTTGGCGACTGAGCTGGGACAACTGTGTCAATCGGTTTTGTGGCTTCCCCATATGAGCCCGCTGTCTCTGCAGCCATCGAAGACGGGGGGCTGAGGTCGGCGTGATCAGCAAAATGGCGGACCTCCGACCATGGAGGCGAGTACCCAAGGGACCGCGACCCGCTCCTGGCACGGGATGGCGTGGACGACACAGGCCAGGGAGCATCTTTGTCCACCTTTTGCATGTCGACTGTTTCTACAGCCCCAAAGGCCTCGAAGCTAAATTCGTAAGTCCGCATAAATATGTCGCCCACATCTCCATCCTCCCATGTAAGCAGATCTCCCAATCCCTTGCTGAGTTCTGGCCAGCCGTCCTGGATGTGCTCTAGGTGCTTCACCTTGAGCCCGAGTAGCTTGCGGTAAAAGGCAGTCGGGAAGTTGACCGGGAGCGTGAGACCATTATACACAGCCAGAGACATAAGGAGTCCAAGCAGCTCGAACTTGTACAAAGGCTCCCACGAACAAGGCTGGAACCATGAGATCCGCGTCCGCGCGTCCGTCGTGAACATGCCAAAAGACGGATCAAGTGCCTCTGCCATCAGAACTCGGAAGAATTCCTGCTGAACACCACCGTGGTCAAGACCCTCCTCACCTTCATCCATACCCATTTGTACCTTCAGTGGCCGCATAAGCTCCCGTCTTTCGCGGCGCCAGAGCTGATTGAGAGCATCCATAAGAATATTGTCGCGCCGCACCATCAGAACCAGATATGTAGACATCGACGTCTTTAGCTGTGCGAGTAACCCGACATCATCCTGAACCTGGATGGGGCCAAAGGCCGTTTGTGTCACGTGTCTCGTCGTAGTCATAGCGGCTTCGTAGTACTTGGACATGGCCGCGTAGTTGAGAGCTCGGAAATAGATCACCAACGCTGAAGGAGGGAAAAGGAAAGGATAGGACAATAGATGCATTGTCTTGTTGTTCGGAAGGCGACCCATCCACTCCACAGGCATGTCCAAAGGTTCCAACCTGTCGGAGAGAAACGGGGTGTGGAAGTCTTCGGGTACCAGGCCCAAACGACTGCGCTCCTTGTACAACAATGACAGAATCTGAACGGCACCTCCAGCCGAACTGCTTTTCGACAGTTGCGGGTTACCATCCCATTCCTTGAGGAGAAGGGTGCGAAGCCATTCAGCAATGAAAGCAGGCGCGCCAGGAGGGGGAGTATGATCCGAGTCGCCAATGGCCGCTGTCATAGCCCCGTAATGCTCGCTGAGATTGTTCACAATCAGATCCAGAACGCTGTTTTTACGCTGTTTTGGCAAGTCACGGGAGTACACCTGTCGCGCTTTTGATATTTCGTGGAACGCCATTCGTGCGGTGAGAGCGCGTACTAAGCGATCAAGTAGCCGGAGGGCCAGCTCATGCTCAAGCATATCAGTTGTTTCTACCACAAGACGGGCCCTGGGTATCGACAGCTTTTGCATGTCCGAACTCGAAGATACGCCCCCGGCCGCACGCATTTGGAGAATCGCTCGCCATGTTGGTGCATCTATCTCGGGAAGAGAGCTAGCCAGGGCAAAAATGGCGAGTGTAGCAACATCAGCAGCATTGGCATCAGTAAAGTGCTCATTGCCCTCCGAATCGGATCGACGAATGATCGGTGCGCTGGATGCGGCGTTCGTCAAGTTGCTAGACGAACGGCGGGGAAGTTTCCCTGATATCGAAAGCTCTTTTGGTGGGATGAATAGTGTCTCTGTAGCGCTCCAGAGACTGTGAAAGACAATATCCCGAGGGCAGATGCGGAGTAGCTTACGGAGCGATGGTTGTAATTGTTGGAGGTCAAGCTTGGGCTTAGAGCGGTTCTCATTCATTCCAGTCGGACCGGCCGATTTCTGGCGGAATGAGAGAAGGAGTTGCTTGGTATTCCCCAGTGCATAGAAAACGCTCTGTGAAACGAAGGAAAACACTTCACGCTGACGGGGAGTCGCAAAGCGCCACTCTGACTCCTCGAAGCTCCCGGTGGATTCCATGTAGGTCAGCTCGTCCTTCCACAGCTCTGCCTCGTCCTCAGAGAGTATCATCATTTGCGTCATGCCGTCAATTATCTCGTCCGTCAAATGTGATAGGGATTGGATGCTGGAAATGGCTTTGTTCTGACTCGAACTCCGGCGCTTCGGTTTCCGGGCACTAGGAGACTCTGTCTCCGGAGGAGGTTGTTCGTCGCTCTGAGGCTCGGGCTTCTCGAATTCGTCGAGCAGGACATTGTTGAGATACTTCGCTCCATCCCATGAAACACGTCGTTCTTTCTTCGGCTGCTCCTGCGGAAGGGGATAGTTTCCGTCTGCTGTTCTCCCTCGATGCTTCTGCGGACGATGCCGTAGGGCGGGTGGCGAAGGTACATTGTGTGTTTCATCGCCATTGACGTGTGTGTTCACGGTGAGCTTGCGGGCGGGTTTCAGCTCCTGATATGATTTCTCCTCCAAACTTGTGCGTGGGTTCTGGCGCCACTGGTCCACGTCCGTGAGCGACAGTCGCTTAACCTGCTGGTTAGGAAGTTTCAACTCCAGCGCAGCCAGCTGGCCATTCCCATGGCGCGATGAGGGGGTTTGGGGAGCCGCAGTTGCAGACAGAGTATGTTGAGGTGTTCGTTGTCGGGTTAGATTTGGCCTAGGTTTATCCGAATATGGATGTGTTCCATCGGAATCCGGCTTTGGTGATCGAGATTCGGGACGGGTGTCTATGCGATCTGAATCCGGACCGAGCGAACTTGGAGAGCGGCGTAGAGGTAACCATTCTATCATCCTCAGCGATAAGGTATCGAACAAGTTCTGAGTGAACGACTTCGGGTCTTTCATTCGTTGTGTTGCAGGTGCCTCCTCCGGTATAACCGCCGTCAGGTCCTGGGATTCCACACATGGAGACAAACTTCGACCATTTCGATCATTAAAGCTGGAAGAATGTACGTTCCGAACCGTCGATGGCCTTAGCACCCCATCCGCACCAGTATGGTCCCCGCTCCGTGACTCGGTACGTTCTCTCGGTAGCTCATTTGAAGGTAAGGTGCGGTTCCGTCGTTTCGATCGGCGTTGATATTCCTGGGGTGAAAGCTCATAAGGAACCCGAGAGAGATTGCGACACAAACCGTCCTCCGCGTTATCCAAGCTCGCCAAGTAGCAAGCCAGTGTGCGGGCGCTCAGCTCAGTATACCGGCGAAATGGCCCCTCCGTCACGCGTTTTCGATAGCTAGCGCAAGTTGGTGTCTGACAGCCGGGATCCTGACAGCCGTAGAGGAGTTGATTCTTGTACCTAGAAGCGTTCCCGTCAGCGGGGCCAGCGCACGCACGGCGTCATAGACGTTACCTGCGGACCAGGAGGTTGAACTGGCGACGGCGTTCATCTCTGCACCATAAAAGAACCTGCGCAGGGTCCGAGACGTCCACGGTGTTTTGAGCGATCACGTCGGGGGCGTTCGGAGGTAGCTTGGAGCGGTGGAACTGGGGTCGGTCGATGCCTCCATGCGAAACCTCATACGAGCTCACGGAAGCTCCGCGGAGCCTGGTCATCTTGACAGACTGCGGAGCATGCCGCAGCTAGCGATCGAGGAAAGACAGTGGCTTGACAAAGCACCCTCTCTATTTGTAGGTCTGCGCAGCGGAGAAAGGGGTCAAACTCGAGGCGAAGGTGGTTATGTGACTCGTTATTTCTGGGGTCTGGGGGTCTTGCGAGGCTGATATCACGAGCATTTGGGGGGGGGGCCTCAGGCGCCAAGACCAGCTCGGGTGATGAGTCAGCCAGTGGAAACACCAGGTAAGACGCCAGTCCCAATTCGGATAGTCCGGTCTTGTTGCTTGTGATCACAGGCTCTCACTTGTACTTACTTTGTACCCTCCGATCTACCATTCGTTATTATTAGCTATGGTGACACTTTCCTGTGGTACACCGGATTCCAGAAGGTTTTACTTGGTAGTTATATCCTTTTATATCCATCCCGCATTGATCGGCCTATGCACGGCCCTACGGAGGACAAGATAGATCTTGGGAAGCAAGGGAGCTATCTCTACGGCAGAAGTCCGCGCTTTGACTGGTGTATGATAAGTGGAAAGTCCATTATAGATCCTTACATGGGTCTCGACGGGGCTAAAAATGTTGTTCACGCTGCCAGCAATCAGTGCTGATGTGTAACACCTGATTTCCACAAGTCTGTACTCTGCATTTCTCAACTGTCTCGGCTGCTAGACCATGCCTGTAGAAACATTCCCCACCGATCTTCCCCTAGATTTCTGCGTCCTACCCCATGATGATGCTTATTATCCCGAATTAATATGCTGTGCAATGCTTTCGACAGATGATCTTAAAGGCTTCTGTCGAGAACACCTTTTCAACTGTTAACCCACATTCTGATGCAGCCACGACTCAAATCGCGACACTTCCCATGAACATCAACTAAAGTAAGAACAGTATCTACCAAGGCTACAACGACTGTCAGAAGTAACAGTCGATGATATCTGACTGCATTGATCAATTACAATGTGGCTACCACTATATCGCCCAAGACCAGGGTACAGCCTGAATTGTTCCATGACGATTGACATTAGATACCGTGATAGCAATCGCGGATTGACTACTCATTATTCTACTTCTCTGCTATTTTAGCTCTGGTCAACAATCTTGCCACTATTTATATTGCTCGCCCCGTTATTACCCCCCTCATCTGCGGAAGATATGGTCTAGCTTCTTGGCAAGGCATGTGGAGGCATGGTACAACCGTCTTCAAGATGTAGGAAGTTGTTTCAGTATCAAAGGTGGAGGCTTACGCTCTTCCAATCCCAATTCCAACGCTGGTTTGAAAGTCCGGCATTGCCAGGTTCTAGCCAACGCCATGATGTTGTGATGCCCTCTGCACTACTTGACTGGGTTGGTGACCCCTCGTAATGTCAGTGTTGGACTTGATGACCTTAATGCAAGCGAGTGCTGCACGATACAACGGAGTAATGCCAGCTAATCTGTTCTGTTGCGTATATCGCTAGTTAGAGATAACCACGCATGTATCCAAATCGGGCAGTGGACCAAATAACACAAGAGCGGGTGACAATATGCACATATATTGCAGCACTAAGTACTTTCAATCTATATTTCGGGCTCCTATTCCTCGATTCATCGTACACGCGCAGACCAAGACGACCCCCCTCTTCAGCCGTACGGGTCTTTTAATCTATATCACATTAAAGGCGTTATGGTTCACCCATAAACAGGCGATGTAGCGTGCATGGAAATATATTCCGTGTTCTAGCCCCACAGCTGCCCACTAGTCGGACGGACCAAGAAGACCAACTACTACCTCGATCCGGGCGATCAAGCTTTATATTCCCTCAAAGATGTCAACTTTGAAGGATTCTATTGGGAGCTGATAACATCATGGAGAAATGACAGAGCCAGCGACGGCAAATTCACTGCGTCGTATACCAGTGAACTCAAGGTTACCAAAGGCAGCGAGAACACTCTGAACGCGAACATGGGGATGTCGTTCGAAGGCCTGAGTGTCGATATCGACGCATCATCCAAGACCTTCCAACAGACAGAAACGACGACAAGCGAGACGCACACCGTGGAGCTTACGGTCCCGGCGCAAACGACCGTTCACCTTTATCAAATGGTCTACCAGTTCAAGACGAATATTTGGTTCATGAATGATGGACGTGGTGAATTGTTTCAGGTGGGGAGTCATAAATGTTATATTCCTGCGCATGTGGAGGGATATGTTGAGATTCATTCGACGGAGTATTTCTCTAGGGAGGAGGAATTGGAGGGTTTGGATAGAATCGATGCTCACTATTTGGACCCTGAGTGGCCGGGATACACGGCCACGTACTTTTTTGAGGATGCGACGGATGAATGCATGGACTATCCCTGGGATCATGGTGTCACTATTCCTACCTTGTAGGTGGGGGCTTTATCTTGGGCTGGGTTTTTCTTCTATTGGGGGTTTTACCATACCGTTGTGTGAACGCAGAGATGTCCGGACATCATGTGTATCTGGATCTGCTTAGCTTTGACGAAATACAGCCTCTTTGATCTCTACTGCACAGCAGTCAATCACTTAGTGCCATCCATCATAACCTAGGCCCCTGAATCACCATCTTAATCCCCTCTCCCCGTCTAGCAGCCTCCCACGCCTCCGTCGCCTCCTCAAACGGAAATACCCTCGATATCAAACCCTGAAGCACGACCCTCCCCCTCCTCACAAGATCCGCTCCCAAGTCAAAATCCCCAGCTCCATACCGAAAACACCCCTTCGCCACAATCTCCTTCTCACACATCTCGGCAATTGGAAACTCCATTATCCTCTTCCCCATCCCAGCCTGCACATACGTGCCCCCCTTCTTCAGCACAAACACCCCCGTCTGCACCGCCATCTCTGCCCCCGACGCATCAATCACGACATCTGCACCACCATTATCCCTCAATCCACCCTCGTTCAGTATCCTTTCAACATTGCCTTCTACCCCCAGATACCTATCCATAACCACCCCCTTGCCCACCCCCTCCCCAATAAACCCCCTCGCAAATCCCACCCTCCCCTCCACCACATCCACAGACACCACCACACTCGCCCCAAACTCCCTCGCCACTACCGCACAAAATAACCCCACAGTGCCTGCGCCAAATACCACGACCTTCTGTCCAGGCCTCACATCAGCAAGCCTCACAGCGTGAACAGCCACAGTCAACGGCTCAATCAAGACCGCTTCCTCTAACTTAATGCACTCAGGCACCTTGTAGCAGAAGTCTGCAGGGACGCGGAAGTACTTGGTCAGCGTGCCGTGCACGAATGGTGGGTCCGCGGCGAACTTCATCTCTGGGCAGAGGTTGTAGCGTCCGCTTTTGCAGGAGGTGCAGCGTCGACAGGGGTAGCCTGGCTCGATGGAGACTTTGTCGCCGGGCTGGAGGGTGGTTACGGCGGTGCCGATGGCGTGGATGATTCCAGACGCTTCGTGGCCCATTGTTAGGGGGTGAGTGGAGGAGACGTATGTGCGGATGCCGCCGTGGAGCCAGAAGTGGACCTGATAGTGTGGGTGAGTATGATATGAGGAATGTATGGGATAAAATGGGATGGATGGAGCTTACATCGCTGCCGCAGACGCCGGTGTATGCGATGCGGATGAGGACGTCGTGGGGGTTGTTGTCGAGGGTGGGAATTGGACGGTCTTCAAAGCGTGCGTCGAGTGGGCCGTAGAGAAGGCAGGATGGGTTGGATGGGTTGGGGTTCATGGTATATTAACTTGTGTCTGTCTTAAACCTGGGGGAAATGTGGTATCCAGATAGATTGGAGTCTGTCAATTTGTTGATCAATGGCACTCTTGGCAGTTTATGACCCCGCTTGAGATGTTCATATACATGCTTTCCATAAAGTGTCGGCGCTCTGTCGGCCGAGGACAGATAAGTGGATGGTAAGACTGACGTTCGTTGAAGCGCCGTCGGGGCAGGTATCCAGCGGCTGGCCGTGCTCCGATAGTCTGATAGTAGGTTATTATCCTCTCTGCTTTGGTAATTCTTGTTCTGCTTTTTCTTTGTTTTTCATATGATACTTCTCTTCCCTGTTAAAGGGTGTCATAAAACCAACCATTCACATTTGCCAATCCTCTGCATTGTCAGCGACCAGTGCAGCTCCTGAAACATAATCAAACGATTCAACTTCGTTCGTATTCGGAAACCCCTCGAGTCCTTCAAAGATATCCATATCAAATGACGTCGCATCAAAGAGCATCTGAAGGGAAGGGTCAACAGCAAGTGTGTCGAGACGCGTGCCAGTGCTATTATACTCCATTGGTAATTGTGCCGTGCCCGGGACACTTGTCGAGGAAGGCTCCCCCACTGCAGTAGGGCTAGCTTGTGACTGATACATAATCCGGTCAAGCACTTCCAAGCACCGCGCTGCAGCTTGATTCTTCTGGCTCAAATTAGCTAGGCAGTCACGCGATCTCTCTATGGAAGATATCCAGAGCTCGTGATTTGCCGCCGCCAAGCTTCTATCCAACGGCTCCTTTGGTCGGAGATGATAGATGCTGAGAACGACGGATGCCTGGAAGAGGAAGTATGTCGCGTACCAGCATAGGCCGAAATGTAGCGTATCCGGATAGTCAACACAGAAGGTAGTGATATCCTGGATACACTCTACGGCGGCATAGTGGCACATGTTTCGGGCTTCTTCGCTGTCTGACGGAGAACTGCATATACGCTGAGTTCCCCACCATAGCATCATTCGCAGGTTTTGTTCCTTCCAGCTGACTATTGCTCGAGGTCCGCGGAACCATGTTGGGACATCATGGGCCGTAAAGTAAAGCGGCAGTGAGAGTCTCCAGGCCTTGAGCTGATGATCGAGTGATCGTGGGGTCTTCATATCTAAGTCCTTCTTTGGACCTGCTATCACGTTACAGAATACGGTGTTTCCGATGCGTGATAATCGAGCCTGTGCTATTATCGCGGAGTATGTAGTTGGTTTGTCGATAGGGAGTGGGACTATGGAATCTAATGGGTAAGTCTGATGGTGATCAGTTAGCTACAACTTTCGTCTCTTTCTTTTAGCATGAAATCAGTTACCGAGTCTTCGATATTGCGAGGGAGTTGGGTTTCGATGAAACAGTCCGACGACATCAGGGGCCTTCCTGTAGTCAGACTGAATCCGCTGTCAAATGAGTAAACAATCCACCACACTACTCTTCTTCTTTCGCTACTCAAGGTGTCGTGCGTCGATTCCCTCGTTGGTTCACGATGGAGGCCCAGTCCAAGAGCCATTCGATATGCTATTCCAATGAAGTTGTATCCGGTATTTGGTCGATCCCGTTTTTGGAGAAAATTCCCCTGTGCCATTTAGCCTTGAAACATGCTTGCGATATACACTGACGCGCATTAAGGTGACCAACCATCAAGAGGAACGCTTGGACTGTGAGAAGTGCACCCGACTCCAGCAGACTTATTGACATACGCGATCGTGCAGCCATGTAATATCTGGACTCCTCTACTTTGGAGCCACCGGATATCACCCAGTCACCGATTGCCAGAACGATATAGAAGATCAAGTGCCATGTGGAGTGAGGTGGAGTATGATGGCGGTTCTGGTACTTCTCGCTGAACGTCTTTTCATGTAGAATTGGAAATGATTTGTTATACCACCCGAAATAGGCTTCAAATAGAGAGTCCGTGAGGATAGAGTTATCAAGTTTCCTCAGAATGTGCGGACTCGCTAATTTGGTCGAGTTTGCAGGGTGTTGCCCTCTTCGAGTAACCAAAGGAGCAGGATGCTCGGGTAGTAAATCTGAGATGGTTTCCAGTATACATGACCCAGATGAGTTTCCTAAAAAGCCACCATCAATCTCATTCATGGAAAGTTCCTCAAGCTACTTACCTAAGTAACCGGATCCTGACCCTTCGGTTGGCAGTGATGCCATTCCATCGAGAGACTTGTTTGGCGGATGAGACGAGGTCATTGGACCCTCGTTCCATTCAAAGTTCTCTAATGGGGTGGAACTTTTCACACCAGGGCTTACACCTAGCAAGCTGTTGTGGTTTGTTTCATTATCATCATGCGCCTGCCCGGCCCCTGCCAGTGATTTTAATGCTTCTTCGATGTCGATGTTGGGATCCAAAGTCTGGACAAGGGTCATCAACTTCTCACAGAGCTGCTCCTTCTCTTCAAGGTTCCTATGTACATACTGAGAATATGTTCCTTATGGTACACAGGGGCCTACACTCACTTGCGAGTCAACGGTGTCCGAGATGGTACACTCTCGAAGAGACATCGTTTTCTAGTCCTCGAGCAGTAAGAGCATGGGGCGGTTCCAGAACACTTGGTAGTACACTATCAGTATAGAAATAGCTAACAATATGCGGGTTGTTCTCGGGGTCATACCTTGCTCTTTCGTCTCTTGAAGCATGTCAGTACTTTATTAGCCACATGCGATAGCCCTCTAGTATACGACGGGTCACTCTTACCCGGCACTCTACACACTACTCGTTATTAGTCTAACGACAGGCTTCCTGCTAATGTAGTACACTTACTGCCCGAAGCTCCCGTGTCTCTGAATTTAGTCTCGTCCGTTTTGCCATGCTGGTGATTAATTCGTGGCAGGAATGTTTTTACATCAACATAAGGCTTATGCTCTAGTGATCGTTGTGGTCGGTCCGCAGTCGTCCGAAGGCCCCGCTGGATCGATCCAGCAAGTTAGCTTCTGATCTAGAGATGTCAAAGACGCCGTTTTTGAGAGCTTATTTTGATGCTTTAAGACGAGCAAAAAGGGTCTATCCTGATATCTCACATTAGTACAAAGAGCCCCTCGCTCTGTCAATTTTTGGATAGTCTTGGATAGCCCTGGAAGATCAGTATGATGTACTCCTAGATGCGGTTCTCTGGTCATTCATTCGCCGGTCCTTCCAGGGACATCTGTCACCTAGCTCGCTCAAAAAAATGCTTTGATAACTACTCGCTCTCTTGACTAGCAAACCTCAGATACTAAGCGTCGCAGTCAGCCTTTCATTGAGAGGCCCGAACGGTGCTAGTTGCAACGTGATTGGCCGAAATCGTGGCGCTCAATTGAGAGGATAAAGAAGTCGTGCGTCAGCACTAGCGATAGTGGCCGTTGCTCTGGCATCATGCGATCGGGGAAGAGTGTTTTCTTTCCTGATTATATCCAGCTCATCAGAATAGCATAATATTTGGCAGACACTGCGAATGATTGTAAGATTAGCGCCGTGCAACGCCGCAGAGCTACTACTTACTTAGATTTCAGATGTTAGGAATCAGTCCAATGACAGCCCGGGGGCTTACGCATGGAAACCACGAAGGATTCACTACTAATCAGACTGACCCCCCAGTAAGAATCCCATGAGATCCAGGGGTTATTAAAAGGTGCGACTACCCGGCCTGGCACTCAGTCAAACTTTCCGAGTTACCCATCTTCTCCACCATATTGACAACGCGTTGTCCGGCACGGTCGCATAGCGCACAGGCCGTCAACTGCAGGAGCTCGTCTCGGCTTCATCTATATCTCTGTGTTTGACAGCTCCGGTCGGAAGTCGCCGGCATTCAATCAGCCTGCGTGTACAGCTCGCAGGGTTCACACAACATGGAGGTCAACTCTCCCAGCTTCGCGTCGCCGCTCGCTAGCGTTCGAGCCAACAACTTGCCCATTCCCTCCCAATTCGAGGGTGTCGTTGATGCCATCAGCAATGCGAGCCCGTGGACTATTGCCTTTACGATTTTCGCGGTCCTTGTCGCTTATGATCAAAGTATGTCTTTTGACCGCTGATTATGATTCACTCGATCGGTCCTAAGATGCCTTGCTTTTCAGTCATGTACCTCATAAACAAAGGCAACATTGTGGGCCCAGCTTTCAAGATACCCTTTATTGGACCATTCTTGGAATCTGTCAACCCCAAATTCGAGGAATATTATGCCAAATGGAAAAGCGGCCCGCTCAGTTGCGTGTCCGTCTTTCACAAGTTCGTTCCCTGGGCGCATACAGATCGTTAGCATAGACCAGACTAACAAAATCCGGTCCAGATTCGTCGTGATTGCTTCAACCCGTGATTTGGCTAGGAAAGTGTTCAACTCCCCGACCTACGTGAAGCCCTGCGTCGTGGATGTCGCTCATAAGCTCCTGGGGAAGGAGAACTTTGTCTTTATGGACGGAAAACCACATGTGGATTTCCGCAAGGGCCTCAACGGCCTTTTCACAAGGAAGGCACTGCAGTCTTACCTTCCTGGTCAGGAGGGTGTCTATAATCAGTACTTCGAGCGCTTCCTTGGTATCACGCAAAAAGCCGGCGGCAAGCCAGTACCCTTTATGCCCGAGTTTCGCGAATTGATGTGCGCCGTATCGCTCCGCACATTCTGCGGCTATTATATTTCGGACGAAGCTGTAAAGAAAATCTCTGATGACTATTATCTGATCACAGAGGCAATGGAGCTGGTCAACTTTCCTATTATTCTGCCTTTCACAAAGGCATGGTACGGTAAGAAGGCGAGTGATATGGTCATAGCCGAGTTTTGCCAGGCCAGTGCGAAGAGCAAGGTCAGTATGGCAGCCGGCAAAGAACCAACTTGCATTATGGACGCGTGGGTCAAAAATATCCTGGCCTCAAAGCAATGGGTTGAAGCAGAAGCCAAGGGAATGCCAATGGAGGGCATGGAAAAGCCATCTCCTCTGCTACGAGACTTCGCCGATTGGGAGATCGCTCAGACAGTGCTCGCATTTTTGTTCGCTTCCCAGGATGCTACCAGCAGCGCAGCCACCTGGCTCTTTCAGACGATGGCACAGCGCCCCGACGTGCTCGATCGAGTGCGTGAGGAAAATTATCAGGTCCGTAACGGTAACGTCCATGCTGAGGTTGACCTGGACCAACTGGAGTCCATGACCTATACCCGTGCAGTCGTCAGGGAACTTCTGCGGTACCGACCTCCCGTGATCATGGTGCCTTATATGGCGAAGAAGCCGTTCCCAATCACTGACTCCTACACTGTTCCTAAAGGTGAGCTCTATAACATGAACCAAGACCTTAGCCGGTGCTAACTATCAACAGGAGCGATGGTTATCCCCACCACGTACCTCGCCCTCCGGGACGAGGAGGTATACGAGAACCCTGACGAATTCAATCCTGAGCGTTATTATACCGGGGATGCTGAGGAGAAGGGAAAGAATAACTATCTCGTGTTTGGAACCGGTCCACATGTGTGCATTGGACAGCACTATGCGCAGCTCAATCTGGTACTGCTTATCGGCAAAGCCTCGTTGCTGCTGGACTGGAAGCATCATGCGACCCCGCTATCAGAGGAGATCAAGGTCTTCGCAACCATCTTTCCCAAGGTAAGTGAGCAGTGAGCAAGAAGAAGCTACAAGTACTGATTGCTTGCCAGGATGACTGCCCGTTGACATTCAATAAGAGGAAGTGGTAAGGTAAAGTGGTGGGATAGTGGAAAGGGAGGAGGGGCGGTTGCTTACTGCCGTTTGACTCATTTGTACAGAATTCACAATACTTATATACATACATTGAGTGTCAGCTTAATATTTCGACTGTCTAATCCACGAAATTCTGTTTTTCCCAATTTTCATTCTACTGTTCACATACAATGAAGACGTTGTTGGATTTGTCCCATTTGCCCATATCATTGGCTCCTAGACCGTGCCCAACAATTGGTACCGTAACACTTTCAAATAACTGCTGCGGGTTTAAACCCCAGACACGTTCATGATATTCTCAGATCTTCGTTATATAGTCCGTTTATTGAATCTCAATAGTACTCCGGTAAGCAAATATCCCAAACTCCCAAGCGACAACTAGAATACCAGACCTCCACCTATCCACCGAAGAGAACTTCGTTAGCTACAACACCGCAGCACCTTCCTCATCAACATAACAAAAGGGAAAGAACATACCATCAACCACAATATCCACTCCATTCAGATAACTCCCTCCAACATCACTACACAAAAGCACCACCGGCCCCGTCAACTCCTGCGGCGACCCCATACGCCGCATGGGATTGCGATCAGCCCATACCGCACGATGACCTGACAGCTGATCCCCCTCATTCAGAACCGTATCCATATAGCCAGGCGAGATGGAGTTGACGTGAATGCCATACTGCGCCCATTCAGCGGCTAGACAGCTCTTCATATGAAGGATACTGGCTTTGGAGATATTGTACGCTAGCTGTGGCTGGGGATAGTTAACGCGGTGACCGCTGATAGAGGCAATTAAGACGATTTTGCCGCCTGTTTTACGGGAGATCATGTGTCTGATTTTGGAGTTATTATGAGTTGTTGAAGTACAAGTGCAAGTGGACTTACTTGGCAACAGTCTGCGCCATGATCCAGCTTCCTGTTGCGTTTACGTCTTGCATCCTCTTGTAATCTTCCAGGGACATGTCGATTGACGGGACGCAGTTGACTATTCCTGCGAAGCAGCATAAGATTCTCAAATCGCCGAGACGGTCTATGGCTGATTGAACTGCGGATTGGACTTCTGCTTCGATGGTCACGTTGCAGGGTATGGTTACGATTTTGGCGTTGGGAAAATCATGCTGTACGGCTGAGATGTGCTCTTTGCTCTTTGTGAGGGAGGTAGGTAGGTCTAGGAGAGCTAGGCCTTGTAGACCGTGTTCAAGGAGTGCTCGTGCTGAGGTGAGTGCTAGAGCGCCGGCGCCGCCGGTGACTATACTTTGTCTTAGTCCATTCGCTTTTCCTTTACACTAAGTAAAGAGAAGAGAGAAGACGAGATGAAATGGCATACAGATGGCATTTCCCTTCACTGCGAATCTCTGTCTCGCGTTGTCGGCTGCACTGTTACTCGACGGGAAAGGCGCAGGGGGTGGTGTAAGAGATGACTGAGGGTCAAGCTCTCCTAGTTGCATCCAAGGGATTGCTGGCGTATCTGAGTTGGATCCCATAGTGATTATAGTGAAGTCTTATTCTATCTTGTAACTAAGTGATGAGTGGAGCCCAGGAAATTGAGATTTAACAACGTCGACTAAAATGAGAGAGTGGGGTGAATGTTTGATCACTGGGTTCTGCGTATCAACTCAAAAGGGCAAATTATGCGCGGTGGTCCTAGGGTGTTTTCTTTTAACCATTAAGGTGTCTGCTTGAACCTACTGGTTCTCGGCTACCTGTCGACCGATGGGGTTTGGGGTGGAGTGCAGATGCACCGGGCTAAGCCCCGAGCGGGATGATTGAATGCGGGGACTCCGGCGGGATGCGGAGGTTGTCCGATTAGGTCCGAATGGCCACCAATGCAATGCTTCGGTTGTCTGTTGCCCGAGACCTGTTCTGCCCTTCTTTTCTCGTTGAAATTAAGTCAACAGGCTCGCCTTCAATGATTAGGAGCTTGGAACGGGGCGGAGTCTGAAGCAGATGATCAAAGATGGAATCAAAGCGCCAGTTTGGATCGAATATTGTTGGTTCGACGCTTGTGTACTCACTAATCCCGGATAGAAATCATTGGTTCGAAGACTAGGTCGGACCACAGTTACCCGAACAGGTATATCATGATGATTGAGATCAACTCCTGGCTCCTTCTAAGAGAGTGGGGCAACCAGGTTCAATTCTCAAAGGACCAGTATTTGTTGGTGCAACCCCGCTATCTCTGGTCGCGTGAAGTGAAAGAAGAGAAGCAGCAACCATCAAGGTAGATACCGTTCCAAGAAAAACATCTTAAAAGGGTACGGAGTACCTTCCAGTCTTATAATTGTCAGGCTTCATCTTTTGATACTTCCGCTTGAACCAGTCTTGAATTCTTTTCATTTGCTGCAGTTGTTAACTACCACCTCTGTTCAACATGTCTATGAGCGTAGCCGAGTGTGCCCCAGTCCGTGAGGGATACCCTCGCCCGTTCCCAAACACGCCAACAAATGTGTTGGCGCAGATGCGTCTGAGCGGAAAGGTTGTCGTGGTCACAGGAGCTGCAGATGGTATCGGCTACGCAGTGGCTGAAGCCATGGCTGAGGCTAATGCCGATATTGCCATGTGGTACAACTCGTAAGCTATGCCTTTTCTAGCATCGGAAACAAGATTCCACAGCTAACCAAGTCACGATAGCAATGATGCAGCCGTCGCGAAAGCGCAGGCACTGGCTTCTGCTCATGGGATTAGAGCTACAGCTTACAAGGTCGATGGTGAGGGTTACTTGTCATTCGTTATGAAAGGCATGGAATACTGATTATTCCAGTTTCGGATGCGGATGCCGTTCAACAAGCAATTGCGGATGTCGCCAAAGACTTTGGCAAGATTGATGTGTTTATCGCAAACGCCGGTAGGATGCCATTTTTGTCGCACAGTATATTGAATCGCTAACATTCTAAACAGGAATGGCCATTTCCAAGCCTCTCCTGGAGCAAACACTGGAAGAATATCGGAAGCAGATGTCGGTGAACGGTAATATGCTTCCTCCTCTGCTGTAAAATGGATGCTGATGTTGGTATACAGTCGATGGCGTTCTTTACTGCGCCAAATATGTTGGAGAGGTGTTCAAGCAACAAGGCTTCGGTAACCTGATCATTACCTCTAGCATGAGTGGTCATATTGTCAACGTCCCCGTTGATCAGCCCGTCTACAATGGCAGCAAGGCCTTCGTGACGCACTTTGGAAAATCACTTGCCCGCGAGTGGAGAGATTTCGCCCGCGTTAACATTGTCTCTCCTGGCTTTTTCGATACCAAGATGGGTGCCAGTCCGCAAACGGTCAACGAAGCTTATCGGATGGCGCCGCTTGGAAGGCAGGGCCATGTGAAGGAGATCAAGGGTTTGTATTTGTATCTCGCCAGTGACGCGTCTACATTCATGACTGGCAGTGATGTCCTCATTGATGGTGGTTATGTGCTACCATAAGTCAATCATGCTGCTGCTGATAGTATTGATACTAGTTCATTGTTTACTTATCAGCTGGATGCCATGTGGTAGACTGGTAGTTTTAGCTGGTGCTCCACAATGTTTGATATACTTATTAGAGAAATATATTCCGGCTGGACCATTACTTCAAATTAGTACTACTACTTTTTATTGGCAGGACGTCGGATTGCTTTCACATCCCCTAAACCACACCAACGGCTCTACTAGGATTTTCAAAATCATCTACCAAGCTACTTTCGGAGACAAGTGTCATTGTGAAACAGACGAAACAGAAGACAAAAGAACTCGTCGGCCGCCTGTGCATAAAGTTTTTATGATGACTAATACAGCACTAGAAGGGTGGATAATGTGTGGGCACGTGCATTGAACGTCATTGGGCCCAAAGCGGCAAGGCGGCGCAAATCTCGGTGATTATCAATAATTAATTCTGCTTCGGCGCTGAGGGGCAACAATTGAAGACTCATCCCGACTCATCCACCCTTCCCTATCTCATTTGCCTTCACTCGCTCGTGTGGATTGATCTCTCCACCCACATAAATATTTACAAGTGTCAACTGGGATAGCCACTTGTTATCTGATACCCAGCGGTCGCAGCATTTGAGATTGTGCCCCGCTTCGTCCATCCCACAATCATTTAACGACCTCTACACGACACTTTCTTTCATCGTGATACCCCTGCGTTGTTTCGCCGATTTTATTCAAGATGGACGGCCCTGCATCTTCCCTCCCCTACACCTGCAACACTTGCCTTGTTGCTTTCCGCGGCAGCGATGCGCAGCGGGTGCACATGCGCACTGACTGGCAGTAAGTTTCTTCATATAACCACTGGATAAGCCTACAGGAACTGATCACGTCTGCACTAGCTTGTATAACATGAAGCGTCGCATTGCCTCTCTTCCCCCAGTCTCTCAGGAAACCTTCAACGAAAAGGTGCTTGCCGCCAAAGCCACCACCACTGCCGCTGCCGCCAAGGCATCTTTCGAGACCACCTGCGTCGCTTGCCAGAAGACCTTCTACAGCGAGAACTCCTACCAGAACCACATCAAGAGCTCCAAGCACAAGGCTCGCGAGGCCCGCATGAGCCGGGAAAATGCCGACGAGTCGTCCTCCGTCATGAGCTCCACCTTCTCCCTGGGAGAACCCATCAACAAGCCCCGCGTCGGAGAGTCCGAGGTCAACAAGGTCGCCGAGACCCTCAAGGATGCTACCATCAAGGAGGTGAACAATGAAGACGAGGAGATGTCTGATGATGGGTTCTTTGCGTCTCGTTGTCTCTTCTGTCTGCAGAAGTCGGAGAATGTTGAAGAAAACACCGAGCACATGTTCAAGACCCACGGCATGTTCATTCCCGAGAAGGACTACCTCGTTGACATTGAGGGTCTTCTCCACTACCTGTGGCGCAAGATCAACGAGAACAGCGAATGCACCTACTGCCATATGATCCGCAACACCCCCGAAGGCATCCGCACCCACATGAAGGACAAGGGCCACTGCATGATCGCTTTCGAGTCTGAGGCCGAGCAGATCGAGATCGGCCAGTACTACGACTTCCGCAGCACCTACTCAGACGACGAAGAGTGGGAGTCCACCGGCAGCGAGACACATGAGGAAGGCGGCGTCAAGGTTGACGGCGAAGACGAGGGATGGGAGACAGACGCCTCATCCATGGACGAGGACGAGGACGACCTCGACAACCGTAAGCGCGCACCCGTCGTCTACGCCACCGACTATGAGCTGCATCTGCCCTCCGGTCGCAGCGTCGGTCACCGCTCCCTCGCCAAATACTACCGCCAGAACCTGCACAACTACCCCACCGCAGAGGAGCGTGCCGAGCGCCAACTTGCCATCGAGAACGGCGAGATCGAGGAAGAGGAGCCGAAGCCTCGTGGCCGCAACCTCAACCGTGCTCTTATCACCCGTGCCAATGGCGGTACTGGTATGATTGGAACGACGGATTCCCAGAAGAGGGACGTGATGATCAGCGAGCGCAAGGAACGCCAGAGAGCCATGCGACAAGAGCAGCGCTTCACGGCACGGGTCAACCGGCAAGCCAACCACCAGAAACACTTCAGAGTAAGCTTACCACCCAAGACTGTTTTGACTTTCATGATACTAACCAGATTGTATAGGATCCTCTCCTGCAATGATCTCATACATTTCGTCTTCTTGCATCGTATGTTGATGAGTCTATGAATCATTTCAGGCTATTTGTTTCTTGGGTTTAGTTTCTGCATTGCCGTGCTGCTGGCATCGTCTTGTTTATGGAGTTGTGGTTGGGTCCATGCACATACTTTATGATAAAAGTAGGGTGAATACAGATTTTTCTGGACATGCTGCGTACGGTAGACACTTTCCTAGTAGAAGCAAAGTAGTCAATATTGGCAAAATCCCATCACGTAGAACCAGACAGCCTACCTACCGAAAGCCCGAAAGATAACAATCATCAAAACATGTCAAGTCGGGCAACTAATAATGAAGATAAGAAAGATATAAAAGCAAAAAGAAATTCCTGTGCATCATCCGTGAATCGAACACGGGCCTCATCGATGGCAACGATGAATTCTACCACTAGACCAATGATGCTAGTCGATATATTATGCCGCATTTTACGCATATATCAGTGGTCGAAAGAATATCGAACCAACCAGTCCTCGACAGCTACACATACTTCAATATTCCATGACAGAAAAGATACTTATATTGAACATCCAGACTATATCTGCTCTAACTGTGATCACCAGCAATTATGATCCTAGTCCACGACTTACAGACTATTAAATGAATATTACTCCAATAACAGCATCGAACCCTGTACGAAAACCATCTAGGAGACCAATAAAAAGGTCAACCAAGAATATCATGTCATACAAAGTATTCCTACATTTCAGATTGATAAATGTCTCCTACAAACCAGCTAGCCATCCCAGCCCAGTTATGTTCCTGAATACGTTCAGGGATCATCCTCGTCCTTCTCCTTCTTATTTCCTTGGCAGATGTCCATTCCTTGGTGTTGTTACCTAGGTGTATATCATACTGATAATAAACCAAGAGACCTGATTAGAGTCGGAGTGAGTGAGTGAGTGAGTGAGTGAGTGAGTGTCGAGAGGGGGAGGATAACCGATTGCAGGAAAGAATGAAAGCCACGAAGCATAATATCCCTGAAATGTCATCATCCCTAGGGAATCAAGGAAGATTTGGCTATATTACATAGTATTATCCATCATGTGGTCTTGATCTTGCATGGTTTGACTCGGGGAATTATTTTATATTATGATGGGTCTACGGTTTGTGTTCTCGACCTACTATTATTCCCGGGGGTACAGTCGGCATTCTACATCAGAGAATACTTGAGAAGGATGGCTAGGATGCTGGAAAGCGGATTATCACCCAGTCTTGAGATGAGATGCTGGACGGATAGTGGTTCCTCCATCATCTGTACAAGCAAGTAGGGGCAAGATAGGGTCGGTGTTACATCTCATGCAAGGACCTATCACGAGAATGCCATTCCTTAAAGATACTACTGATCACAAATCTCATCTACACCGCCAGACCCCTCAATGCAACGACAAGTGTCAAGCGACCAGGTATTGGCACGCAGGGTCGGCTATGCATGGAAAATGAATATATGGTGAAAGGAAAGAAATACATCGGTTCCTCGGGAGCATGTGCATCACACACGACCGGCTGTTCGGTCGTACTTGTGTACAGGCTAAATTTTTGCAACGTAACAACAACAACAACTATCCACATGTCGCCCTGTCGCTCTGGCCAGCAGAACACTCGGAGCGTCTGAAATTATCTTGGTTATTGCGACAGTAGAGGGGTATTTTCGCCCGACTCCCCGTTCTTCGGGCCTTGTCCGCGCTTTCTGCGACGACGGCGTCTCTTATTTCCGGCGGACTGATTACTCCCCAGGTCGACGATGTCGCCTTCCTGGCGGACAGGGAACTCTGGATTTTCGCTCGTTCTCGGTCGTTCAGATTCAGATGAGCTGGTGCTTGTGGTATGGAGCACAACCTTGCGGATGCCGTTGACATCGACCACCTGCTCTGTGATGCTACCACTCCGAGCCGGGCCTCGATGAAGGTAACTGCCCGGCTTGAGATGCTCTGATTGCGAGTCGATGGACCGGGCACTGCCGGTTCGACTGCCCGCTGACCGAGGGTGATCATCCTGTTCTTCATGGACCGGTTCGGGTATCGATATCGGGAGACCATCCTTCGTCTGAGTACCGGCATCAGCCGGCGGATTGGAATGGTTCATCGTGCCATATCCCGCACGGACCGCATACACCCCATCACGGGCGTCCATACCGCTCTGTACAAGTCCGGCACCGATACCGCCCTGCAGGCCGATGGAATTATGTCTAGGTTGTACATCGGACATACTCTGGCTGGATTCAAGATCGGTCTGTCCGGATCGGGATGGCGAGGCACTCCGTTTGATCTTCACATTTTGGTATCGAGTTTGGCGCGGTCGGCTGGCCAAGTTTGATGGACCCAGGTGCTTCAGATGCTGTCTGATTTCATCCGTGGCCCCGCGATGCGTGAACAAGCCGTCTGTCGAGTCTGAGTTCTTATCTGAGGTGGGCCGACGGAGCTGGAACCGGGGCAAGGGTGCCTCTACGGAAAGCCGGCGATGGTCCTTCGGGGCCCCATTGGGCGGCGCAGGGGACTCGTTGTCCACTTCGACTAGAGTGGTCTCAGCCGGAAGCATGGGGGGGTCTTCGACAATCCGGCCCTTGGGAACGCGGGACTTGGGCGCAGGAGCCATACGGCGGATGGCCTTGTGCACATCCACGAAGACATCGGACTCGTCGATGATTTCCCTGCAGAGTGTCAGCATTGTTCGGTCCTTTTGGGGCTTGTCTGGTACGTACTCTCCGATGAGCTCCTCAATCACATCTTCCAGGGTGACCACACCCAAAGCGCCGCGATCCTCACTCGGATACTCCGACACCAATACCATGTGGGACTTGCCCTCTTGGAAGAAGTTGACGATATCCAGACAGCTTGTCTCCGGGCGGGTCTCGGGTAGCGTGGCCAGAGCAAAGTCCCGCACGCGCTTGCAATCTTCGGGATCATAGGTGATCAACATTTTGACTAACAGCATGCCGACGAAGTTCATCGGGTTGTCCGGAGCGTGAATAGGAATACGAGAGTATCCTTGCGACAGAATCAAGTCCATTGTGTTTTCGTCTAGGATGGTGTCGGCGGACATTGTGAAGACGTCTTCCATTGGGGTCATGATGCTGCCCACTGCCTTGTCCTTGAGGTCAAGAACAGCGCTGATGATGGTGACTTCATCGGAGTTGAGCTGTTCACCGGCTTCACCCAAAGTTTTGTGCAGCGTCACCAGGGTCTTGAGACCGGCCTTCTTGTAGATGGTGCCGTGATCCTCACCCAACAGCTTATCGAGCAGCTTCGCGACCGGGTAGGCGACGGGAGACATGAGGTACATGAGCGCTAGGACACATGGAGCCATCCAGGCACCAATGGGGAGACCGTAACGGACACATATCGACTGGGGGACGATTTCGCCGAAAATGACTAGACGCGACAGAGGGAATCATGGTAAGCAAGGATGCGAAGGCCAAGAAGAGGGATTTTTTCGGGCATACCAATCAAGACGGTACTGCCGAGCACCGCAGGCCAGCCACCGCCAAGTGAGCGGTCGAGCACGATTGGAAGCGTCTCGTTGGTGATGACATTGCTGAGCAGCAGCGTGACGAGGACCCAGTGCTTTCCTCGCTGCAACAGCTTCAGGACACTTGCGGCATTTTTGCGTTCGGAGCCTTCACCGGAGGTCTGAATGACTTGTAGGTAGACTTCATCCTGTTTGGGGAAGAAGGGAACTCATCAGCGTCATTGCACAGGAGCATGACAACAGTTCTGAGTGTGAGAATGGAGTTACCTGTCCCATCAAGGCGATGGTCAGACCAGCGAACGCACCGCCGCTGAGAACGAGGGCGGCGGCGACACCTAAGTACAGCCATAGACTAGGGTCACTGGGGGGTTTCGGGTCGACATCGGAGTTGATGATAAAAGTTGGGGCGGCGGAGATGACGGGCAGGTTGGCAACAGCCAAGAAGCAGAGCTTTGCTAAACCAAGGACGAGAGGCCGGGCGGCCAGGATACGGGTGGCAGAGGATATAGCCATCACCGAAGGGCAATGGAAGGAGGGTGGAAAAAAAGAAAGAAAAAGACAAGAAAGGCCCGAAGGCTACCAGAGGGGCATATTTGAGGAAAGAGACGACAAGAGGAGGAGTAGAAAGGGTACGTACGAATTGGGGGGGGGCGGCTAAGCTGAATTGGGGGGCGGGAAAAGCAGAAAGATGGATGGAAACGACGAAGTGGTAACCACTCCGAGTAAAGGTTCTGCTGCTGCTGCTGCTGCTTTGCTTAGTAGTGGCTGGCGGCGTAATCGGAACAATTTGATCAGTGCGGGTGGGTGTGTGTCTGGCCACTGCGTGACGTCGCCTACTTTTAGCACTTACATTAGTACGTAGGTAGTGCTATGTCCTCCACTAAATCCATCCTTCATTATATCATTCTTCTTACTGGCTTATACTTGTTTTATTTCCCTCAACAGGAGGATGGTGGAGGGTTCTCTAATTGATTGATAGGTGATGTCAAATAACTCACAATTCCAGCGTGATTATTATCCTCCCATCAATTGAGTCTGGTGTGCAGTTCTCAGAGATAGCACTGGTCACTGGACACACACGTCTGACAAGTCCACACCCGCTTCTAGTACTACTTCTGAGCTGAGTACGGAGTAACTATTTCAAGGGCTCCATCATTTCTGCGACTGCGAAGGTCCTCATCTTCCCGCCTCCCGACGGACGATCCCGGAGGCCCCCATAGGGCGAATTCCCGATGTCCAATGAGACCGTCTGTTGAATGCTGAGGTAAGAGATGAGTCATTCTATCGAATGATTCTAGACTGACTCGTTACAAAGTAAGTAGAAGTCATGAGGCATCAATATGAGTATCTGGCCGGGTGATCGAGTGGTTATTTCTGGCAGATACTGAAAAGATGTCTTTCATTAATTATCCACTTGCAGCTATATGCATGGAAGGATAGTAGGTAAGTCTACAGCCTAGAATTATATCAGAGAACAACGATATTTGTGTCATATGAGGGTAGTACAGATATACCGAAAGACTAGGCAATGTAGTTCTTACTATCCAAGGGTGTACCTCTTGCTATGAAGCTTTTTTTACGTCGCCAGCTTTTTCTACGGACTTCTTGAGTTTATATACCACTACCACGAACTTGACTAGCTAGTTGATCCCCAAGAGCAGGAAATATAGTGTTATCTTGGGATTCATTCCTTGCTACTCTAGCGCCAATTATTATCAGTACTCGTACTGTCATGATCGTAATTCCTTTTTATTCTGTGCTTCGAGCGTTGCCGACCATGCCAGCGTCTTTACTAACTCACCAACTTTTGAGCCCAGTCAGTTAGGTCGACATGTACTTATCTATCTATCGTCTTAAAATAGTAGGCAGTAAATTATCATACAAATCAACAAAGAAGGTCACTAATACTATCTCCAAGTAATAGCCGGAGAATCCTTACCTTCCTAGTTGTCTCGATGGAAAAATCTACGGATGTCCTCTGGTTTATCCTCGAAGTAGCAGTTAGGAGGAGCTCTATCAATTACCAAATATAGGACTACCGTAGAGTTGAACCCAACTATCGCGTTTCATATAGACCAGCAGATGCTGTAGCACTGTTTTCATCGTAACTACGAAGCATACCCTATCCTATCTTCACTTTCTTCACTAGAAACCGCGTAAGCCTGTACCCACCACTTCACCTACCTTGGCCAAAGGCTAGTGAAGTGCACGCCAGACCCGAAGGTGAAGGCGTCTCCGTGAAAGTTGCTGAATTGACTTTTTGCGCGGCAATTCTCATTATTCGTCTTGAATTCCCGCGTGTAGTCCCGTCATTGCCCATGACGGGTGGGAACTTCCTGAGCTCTCCACGGCATTTCCCATAGTTATTTATACGTAGACTCGTAGACTCACAACCAGCGGGATATAGCTTCTAACTACTTACCTTTTAATGGAGATATCCGAGACTTACCTGCAGCGCCATGGCTATATAATCTGGCGCATCTGTCCTCTCCTCTCTCCCACTTCAATCCAGTTCTCTTCTCTCTCCCAAACCGTCACTCATTTCTCCCCCCTGTATTGTGGTGGTAAAGCCTACCATTCACCTTCAGTAACGAAGCTGCTGACCCAGTCACCGTAGTTAACACTCACTGCCAACAGCTTCATTCACTGGACGGTCAGTCTCCTGCCCCCCCAGGACTCTCTGACCCGCCCACCATGTCTTCCCCTTCCCCCTCTCCTCTTCTCCCCTTCTTCCTCTTCCTCTTCCTCCTCCAACGAACTTTACCAAGATCGGATTCTTCTTAACTTCGTTGACACTCACAGTGTTTAGCAAAGCTTATCGCGGAATCATCTTCTTCGTATCTTCGTTAACATCTTCCTGTGCTTTTTCCAAAAGTACAAACCGCTTTTTAAAGCTTCTCTTCAAGGTTTGAGCTCCAGACCTACTACCGTTAGAATCTCGTAAACAACAAACTCACGCTGTACAGCATGTTTACCATGATGTCTCCTACGGAACAAGTCCTCGTGTACGGAAGGACCCTGAACCCGGAGTACGAGTCATTAGACATGCTCGACTTGACTGCAGGACTGGACACCGTCTTTGCAGCTCTTATTCTCTTCTTCTTCATCGCCGTAAACTGGCACACCCTCACCTCTGGCATCTCGTTCGGGGCCAAGCTGCTTGCAGCCGTTATCTCTCCCCTCGAATCTTTCGTCGCGTGCGTTGACGCGTTCAAGAGATGGATAGTCCAGAGCCAGATGGGTCGTCGCCTTTCCGACCTCCGTAACTGGTATTTCCCTGCCCGTCGTCCCATCGCCATGATCTCGCGGGTTTATGTCACAATCGTCACTTTGATGTGGACGAGTCAAGATCTTCTGACGCCCGGCTACCATGTCTTGTATGGCATGGCTGATGGTATGGGACCCGCAGGCTGGGACCACTGGGAGTACTGCCTGAACCTGGATCGTGGTTCTCCGGCAGGCCGGTGGTCCAGCAGTCGGCGGCTCCAGGGATTCCATTGTGACGGAGTCGACCTCGGCGTGGAGTTGTTTTCTGTCTGGGAAGACTACATCCCAACGTTCAGCGTTGGAGATGATATTGAACACCTCCAGATTTTCCGTTTCGTCTGTTCGGTTTTGGCCCTCTCCAGCATTCTTGCCGGGGCTGTTATCGCTATCCGTCATTCTTCTCCTGTCAAGGCCATTGAGACGCTTTGCAGCTGGACACGTTCGAAGTCAAAGAACGGTCCTGAAGATGAGGCACAGCACCAAGATACAGCGTTGCTCGAGCAAGTTGGACTTCTTTCGGCCAGGATTGGCACTTACGAAGCAATGCTGGATGAGGTACGAGGCCAGCTGGCCGCCAAAACCGAGCAGGCGAACGGACTGGAGGTGCGCTTTGACGAACTTCGGTCGAGAAATCAGATGCTGGTTGCACGTTGCGAAGAGGACAAGGTTGCCCAGCAAGAGAATCTGATCGCCGGTCTTCGTCAAGAGCTAGATCGGGTCAACTGTCGCCTCATAATGGCTAACGGAAGGGCGCGGGGGGCGCAGTATAAGTCTGACTCACGGGAGCAGACTCTCACCAACCGTGTCGCCGAGCTAGAGGAGCAGCTGGCTCGCAAAAGTGATGAAGCGAATGCCAACTCTCGCGGCATTATTGAATCGCTTCAAGCAGACCTCCGTAATCGGACCGATGAGCTCAACACCATGGCGCGCCGTCTAGAAGCCGTTGAAGCTCTGGCCGAGAGGACCTGCGACATTGAAAAGCTCCGTGTGACAGAGGAGGAGGGTCTCCGCAAGGATGCAGAGATCTCTAGACTCCAGGAACTACTTCTGGTTCAGGAGCAGCAGTCTTACGAGCGGGCGAGGGAACTTAGCATCGTCGAAGACCAGCTTTCCAAGCAAGAAGTTGAGATCCAGGACCTGGGCGCAAAAATCAAGGCCTACGAGGCAGCACCCCAGGTGCAGGCCACGGAGCCTAACGCCGCAGAGATCCGTGATCTGGAAGGAAAACTTCAATTTTTCCAGGCACAGTGTCACACGCAAGCAGCACAACTCGGAACCGCGGAAGCACAAGTAAATGTTCTGCAGGCCCAGCTCGAGGAATACTCGGAGCAGCTCCGGATCGCAGAGGCCGAGCACGTAAAGCTGGAGGCAGAGGGTCGCGCAAAGCAAGAAGAGATCGACTTCATGTTGCAACAGTACGACACACTCTTTGCCGAGCATTTCGACCTTACTGGACAGCATAAGAACCTTTCTGAACAGCATGAGAAGCTGCAGAGTGCGTTCAAAGGGGACGATGCTGCCCAGGAAATCCTGGGGCTGCGGGCCGAGATCGAGTCTCTGAAATCTGCGTTGGATAGGAACAGCGCGGCCCAGGAAACTCTGAATCTCCGGGTGGAGGTCAACGCGGTGAAGGCGGTCGCCGAAGAGAAGGTGAGGGAAGCCGAGGCGAAGGCGACAGAAGCCGAGCAGAAGTTGATGGAGGCTGAGGGGGTCGCGAATTTTCTCCGGCAAGCCGACGAAGGGCATCGCAAGACAATGAAAAGCCTGAAAGATGCCTACGATAAGGAGGTGGAGAGATACGATGACGAGGTCGCGGCGGAACGTGCGGCTGCCAAAGAGGCTCGGAAGCAGGTGAAGGGCCTGGAGGAGGAACTCAAGGAGATGTCGCGGCAAGTCGGCATTGCCTCCAGGGATGCTCAGCGTTTCCGGGAGCAGAAGGAGGGCACCGAGGCGGAGAGGGACAAGCTCACGGGCGTCAATGACGTCCTTGAGCACCGTCTGAAGTTTTGGGAGAACAGGGAGAGTATGCAAACGATCCCCAAGCGCCGTACGGGCGACTTGGGGTCTCTTGCGACGGCTCTGGACGAGGCCAGGGTCGAAATCTCCAGGCAGCAGACCGAAATCAACGATCTGCGTGCCAAACTCCAAGCTCAGACTGAGTCCGCCGCCTCAGCCGCTTCTGCTCCCTCCGACCAGGCCCTTCAAGACAGCGTCAACCGTTTGCGACATGCCATGGAGGTCGAGAAAAGACAGCGAACCGAGGACCAGGTTCGCTGGGGCCGGCAGGTCCAAGAGTTGCAGCAGGAAAACCAGCGGCTGCGGGTTTCCATCTCCAGCGCCGGCCTGGGTCGCGGCCGCGGTCGTGGTCGTGGCCGAGGTGGTTGACGCTGTCGCCTGTCTTCGGGGCCTTCAAGCCCCATCATCTTCGAATCGGCTTCCCTGGTGTGAGAGTGAGTGAGTGAGTGAGTGAGTGAGTGGGGGAGGGGCGGGGGAGAGAGAGAAAGATACTAATGATAATTGAACTCAAAAGGACACTCTGACTTGCGACCGGCCTCGCCAGGATTTCGGCATGAAAAGCTCGGGATACTGGCAGCCTGCTATATACAGGCTACTACTACTACTACTACTCCTCAACAGGCAGCGCAATGATTGGATGTCAATCATCATCGGCAGGGACACAAGGAACGATCGACAAACCAGAATATGGTAATAAGGCAGAGCAATTGGAAAGTCTAAACCGGGTGGAGGTGTTCGTGAGATGGCCACTCCGTATAGAGGGAGTGAGTTGTTCGATAATCAATCAATCAGTCACAGTGGAAGCGAAACGGTGTGGATCACGGGGTCAGTCGGGGAAAAGGTCCGTGACTGGCAGCGATAACGGATTCCCTTCCCTTTTCATCCTCTTCAACTTCATCCCACAAGAGAACCACAATTTCAACGGCCGGCTGGCATTAATTTGGGGGCACCTGCGTGCGGGAGAGGATCCTATCAGATCCACGCTGCGAGTAAGTACTTATCCCTCTTGGATCATAGCCAATGGATTGGGAAATTGATCCGAACTAACACTCAATAGTGGCCAGTAGTTCTCAACAAGCGCCGCGCTGTTTCATTCCCTCCCTTCCGTGCGTGTTTCACCTTGGGCCACCAAACCATGGGCGACCCCGTTCTTCATTCCACCAATTCCACCAATTGCTCCACATTCTTCCATGCAAGCCCCCCCTCCATTATCATACAATCCCGCCAACTCTCTTTTTTTCTCGCGTGGATTGCTCGGCTTCTGACCCTCAAGGGGTTCGCCTTTTCCCTGTGAACTGTCGTTCGTTTCTACTCCAAATTACCTCGTCTTTCCTTATTCCCATTGTGGCCGATATCTTGTCTCTTTCTCTCTCTCTCTCTCTCTCTCTCTCTCTCTCTCTCTCCCTCTCTCGTGTGCTTATCAGCAATTGCGATCGGTGTTGTAACCGCAGCAGCACGCGCCAGGACCCCCCTTCCCCTATCTTGGCACGTTCGCCCTACCCACTGAAGCTAGCCGCCAACGTCGCAGTTCAAGCGTCACCATAATCTTTTACAACACTTCAATGGCTATTCAGAATGGGTCCGCAGTGATTGACAGGTCGCTCGTTTGACCTCGGACTCCAGCAATCTCTCAGCGGTTATGCGCGATTGTTGTCGATAGTCGCTGGCCGTACTGCTGACGCTTTCCTCTCTTTCCTTGGCGCGGTCTCGTACATAACAATTTCGAGATCCTGGCTTCCTCTCACTCTCACACTACACCCTCACTCTTTAATCTTCGCTCTCGTTGCGACTTCGACTTCGCCCGGCTGGACCGACGAAGCATCACTCTTTTTCCCGTTGAGACCGTCTCCCTTCCCCTTCTTTTATCTCATTGTGTACTGGCGACACCGGATTGGTTATCGGCATGTTTTGTTCTGGAGACAGGGAGAAAGGGCCCGTGGCCTTGGAGGAACAGTGGGATTACATTGTGAGCTCAATTCCTGGATTGGTCCTCCCATGGAATTGCCGCTGACGCTGACTGTTTACAGAACCTCGATGACTTCAAGTCAGAGTCCTGTCTATCCCCGTTCTCATACTTCTTTCTCTACGTCTTCCTTCTTATCTCCATAGCCGTGTACGGAGTCGACACCTTTACTGCCGTCAATCTTCTTGCTTTCTCACGATGGGCGGGTCAAATCGAGCCTGCGATTCCTTTCAAAATATCGCGATGGATCTTCGCCGTTTGCATCATTATCTCTTTCGCCCTCTTGATCTACCGATGGTTGCGCGCCATTCGTGCAATCCGCTCCGGGAGTATCGCTCAGAGCTACCTCGACTCTCTCGCTGTGCGCGTTCAAAGTATTCGAATGGGAAGCAACGGTCGCGGTTGGAGGCGATTCCTCGTGTTCGGCGAGTTAACCAAAAGTAAGAAGGGCGCTGAATACGTCGCCCTCTTCGCATACTTTGCTTTTGAATGTAAGTTCACCCTGCCCTTCTTGCAAACACATGTTGACCTATCTAGCTTGGCTGAGCACTCTTTTTGCCGACGGCCCACGACAGGTCGTTAACGCCATTACCCTATACTCAGTGATGCAAATGGACCTTCTTCCCGGAGGCAGCAACACCACCGACGAGGGCGGGTCCGGAGCTTCGCAATTCTTTGACAACATGAAGGTGCTGGCAGAGGATAATACCGAACGTGCGGTTGTCCTGATCGGAATGCTATTTACCCTGGTCATATGGGTCTTGTCAATGCTCAAATTGATCCTGGCTGTCGTACTCTACCTTATCTTTCTCTTCCACCATATCCCTTCGGAGGATGGGTCATTGAAGGCTTATTGCAAACGAAAAATTAACAGCCGGCTCACTCGTATTGTCCGGAGGAAAGTCAACAAAGCTTTGGCTAAAGGCGTGGCCTTGCAAGATCGGAAACCGACCAATCCAAACATGGGTCTAGACAAACGGCCTACTCTTCCCTCACTGGGTGCTGGCGATGATGACAAGACACCTGTTGTCACCACGATCTCGCGCACTACCACACAAACCACTCTTCCGGCTTACTCTTCACGTCCTGGGACAGCTGCTCCGGATCGCAATCCCACCTTGCCAGATGTTGGCGCATTCAATGATAAACCTGGATTGAGCCGAACAATGACCGAATCTTCAGCATATTCTGATGCGGCTTCGTTGTCAGGAAGCACCGCGGTGTCAGCATACAGCCCACTGGATCGGCATGGTACGCCGGCGCCACCAGTGCCACCAGTGCCACCACTTCCGAAGCACGGCCCTGCCCCGATGCCACGCTCCCAGACTCCAAGGATGCCACAAAATTTCAACCAAGCGCCTGCGCAACCGGGATACAATAGTCCAATGGAGCGGTCATCACCGGCGCCATCAATGCCGCGCACCCAGACACCGATGTCACGTTCAGACTTCACCCCAGCGCCTCGTCTGCCCGGTCAGCAGCCGGGACCCGTATCGCGTTTGCAGACTCCAGTTTCGCGGCAAGGGTTTACACCCACACCTTCAGCTCCTGGATACGGCCCAGTTGACAGAGCGTCGGCAGCGCCACAGATGCCACGAACACAAACAACCGTCTCAAACTACACCCCAGGCCCCGGATACAGCCAGGTCGACCGTGCCTCCCCCGCACCACAAGTGTTGCGCAACCAAACACCCGTGTCGCGTTCCAATTTTACACCAGGTCCTGGATATGGGCCAACGGTTCCCGGAACAAGAGGTCCTGGCGAAGGTTACAGGCCATTTGAAACATACCAACCTCAACACGATCCTTATGGTCCTCCATCTAGCACTCCTTTCCGTCCATACAGTCCGGCAATTGATCCAAACACTCGTTCTCTAACTCCCGTGTCTGCCTTCCCTGGTGATAGAGCAGCAGCCCGAACATTCTCGCCCTTCAACCAGCCTGGCGCAGCTCCCTATCCAGCTCAAGAAAACGAATACCCGCTACGGTCGTTCAGTCCTGCTACTTCTCATGGCCTTCGCTCTCAAGCCGCTGCCCCCGCTGACGCACTGGGCAGGACGTTCTCACCAGTCAATGCAGCCAATGGAGACGGCTATGTGGCGTTTAGTCCTGTAGCCAATGCGTCACCCTCGCCTTTTGCTAGCCACGCCATTTCCGCACACGATGGATACAGCCATGAATCCAGCTATGATCATCCAGAACCTCAGGACTATGACATGCCACACAGCTCCTATAACTCACATGAAGAGCCTGAGAGTGGCTATATGGCGTTCAGTCCTGCAGCCAATGCGCCGCGCTCGCCCTTTGCTAGCGACGCAATCTCGGCACACCACGAAGCCAACCATGAACATTTAGACCACTTGGACCATACCATGCCACATGACTATAGCTCGCACGAAGAGCCTGAGAGCGGCTATTCTGCATTCAATCCCGCTGCTAAACTATCGTCCGACTTAAACCATGCTTCTCCGTTCGAAGATCAAGACGAATCGCATATCGATGCCGCCCATGAGTCCACAGGAAGACCAAATTCGGAGTCCTACGAAACGTCGCAACAGAATCATAAAAATGTTGCTTACAAACCTTCCGCTGGAAATGAGTCCCCTCTCGAGGGACATGCTGAGACGCATGAGAACGTCGAAATGCATACCGGCGCTGACGTGGCGGACAACTCGTACGAACACCGTGTGTCGAGTGAATCGCATGATGTGCTACAGTCCCACTACAACCATGATAATCCTACCACTTCGTCCAGGAAGTCGTCCGAGTCCGAAATCTCTTTACAAGGACATCACGAACAAGCGACTGCAGAGCAGATGCATGGATTAGAGGTTAGGCCTGTTTCTCCGCTGAGCTTGGGCGACTTGACGCATGCCAATGATGGCTTTGCAACTTTCAACCCCTCCGTCACCTCGCCTGCGCGAACTGAGACCGAACATAATTCCAATCACCACACACAAACAGGTGCTGTCGAGAACCCGTTCGAGAACTCCAACCGCCAAGAAACAAGACCCTCAGAAGGGTACAGGGCCTTTAGTCCTTCCGTGAGGTCACCCGCTACACCCACACTACCAAACATCGCGCCATACGAACATCATGGCCAATCACCAGCAAGGACGATGTCCCCTCAAGGCGAGACTTCACACGTGAAGCCATATCGGCCGGATTACATCTAAATTATTATCTTCTTTCGTTCACTAGCTGGACTTCTTCACGATAATAGGAGAGCTGGCTGTACTTTCTGTTACGATTGCATTCTACCAACGAGCAAATGCTCATGAGTTGTTAAATACCCTTTGTTTTCCCCAATCTTCATGTTCTTAACGTTTTGTATCTCCAATTGGGTACTCTAATCAGAGACAACCCAGGAGACCTTTCTTCAAAGCCTATGGCTGATTGACTTTGTACATACCCATGAGTTATCTCATATACAATGTAACTCACACTTACTACCCATTCATGGTCACAACAGTAAACATCATTAACCATCCCACCACAACCAAACCTACATACATACAGACACCCCCCTCCCCAACCCCACAAAGTAAAACCAATCTACCTCCACGTATCAACCACCGTCTCCCCACTCCCACATTCCGGCACAGTATACTCCCTATTCGGATCACTTTCCCAAGTCACACTCCCATCCTCCTCGACCTTAATAAACTTATACTCGAAGGTCGTCCCCACCGGCAACGACACAGTAACGTACCACTCAGGATTACTCGAGGTATAATCATCCGCGGACAACTTCACCGCATCGCTCGTATCCCACTCCCCGAGCTGGGAGATAGATCCGCTCAGGTAGATTTCTTCGCCGTAGGTGGTGGTGACTAGTTCTTCGAAGGTGATGGGGAGGGTGGTGGATGTTGCGGTGCATGATGATGAAGTAGTGGTAGTAGAAGAAGAGGAGGAGGTGGTTTTGGATGTGGAGGTGGAGGTAGCTGCAGTTGTGGTTGTGCTCCCACTCCCCCCACAAAGCGACGAACTATCAACCACCGAAGCAGGGAGAAGAACTCTAGGTAATCCCGAAACCATCGGAACAGGGATATCCCCGTTCGAGTCCACGGTCACGGACGTGCAGGTGTACGCTTCGATGAGCTCCGTGCCGGAGGTGTAGCCGCTTCCGCTGAGGGTGAGGGTGTAGCTGCTTCCGGAGGAGCCTTTGTTTGAGAGGACTGTTATGACCTGGCTGCCTGACGTGCCTTTGCGCATGGCGATGGTGTTGCTGTCTGTGTAGATTGGGTCGTTCTATTCCATTTTTAGATTTGTGTTAGAATGGGGGTTGAGTTCTGCGTAGGGGGAGGGCAAAGGGCATACCGCGTAAGTAATGTAATCCGAGTCCGCTGAGATAGCCAGTTTCCGGATCGCGTTCGTGGTAGCTATCCAGGTGTAGAGCTCCGCTGAGGTGTCGTAGCCTGATAGCCAGGTCGCTTCGCGGTTGTAGGGCACGTCGCCGCCGGAGTAGTGCTGTTCTTCGCCGGCGTAGACGATGGGGATGCCGTCGGAGAGGAAGATGTAGCTGAGGACGTTTTTGGCTTGGGAGTAGTCGGATGTGTAGCTTCGCTCGCTTGTTAGTGAGTGTAATCATAGGGTGGGGATGAGGGGGATGGAAAGGGACGTACGAGGCGAAACGGGGGTTGTCGTGGTTTTCGATAAAGTTGCCGAGGAGGGTCGGATCGGAGCAGTCGCTGGCGACGGATTTGATCATGTTGTAGAGGTCG